CCAATTTAAACATTGTGTTTGGCAAAGCAGGACATTTAACATATTCTCATAGACTTTTTTAATCAAAAACAATACAAGTTGTTTTATCAGGAATTTCTTCTCTCTTTCCTCATTATATAATAAATAATATATTATTTAATTTATACTATTTTTTTATGTTCAGTGAAATAGTATACAAAAATTTGAAATGAATCTTATACCTTGATACATATGTAGATTTGCCTGAAAATTAAAGAATAAATTTCATATGAGAGAATTAAACACGTTATATATTATATTACATATATTATATAAAATTTATAAAATATATTATAAATATATTATATAAGATTACTTTTATATACAAGTAACAAAAAATTGGATCAGAAATAATAAATTATATTAAGAATTTATTTGATAAACTGTACGTGCAGAAAAATTGTATGAAAGTAAAATTAAAATAACTGAAAAATATTTTTAATTATAAAATAGAACAAAATAAAGCAAGAGAAGAATACATAAATACTTAGAATAAATTATTCAAGATTTTTTAAATAAAATTTACCTAGTTACATATTCAGCATATTGAATAATTAAAAAAACATTTATGAAAGTATGTCTTTATTGCAATTTTTAAAGATTTTATCAATAATTTAGTATTTTAACACAGTATTTGAACATATATGAGAGAAAATAAAATAATATGAATAAAATCATTGCAACTATCCTTCAAAAAGAAAATAAATTTGCGATCAAGCTTTCTTCAACAAATGACGCATTCACACTTTGTTACATTGCGGCCCAAGAAAAAAATATAATCAAAATATAAGATATTAAAGTATATCTACTAGTAAGAATCGCAGCTGATCGCACCTGTCAGATGACAAATCAAGCACGTTCCGTAAGAAAACGAGACGATGCTGTTACGTGAGCTTGTTTTTCGTCGCGAGCATAACGAGCGCAGCAGTAGCATTGATCAAGCTCGACATACGTGTAGCTTTCAATTTTGAAAGCTTTCGGTCGTAGCTGCTTCGTTATCTACCTCTGGCACCTACAACTTCTGCTAACCTCTCCTCACGTACAACTGCTAGCATAACAGCTACATAACGCATGTGCGACAAAGGCCAAGCAGGATTTAGGGTTAGGATCCTCAGACTTGACGGGGGAAATTTTTAGTAGGCCCCTTACTAAGAGTTGAAATTATTTGCGATCATCATCTGCCGTTTTATCGTTAAAATGTTTTATATATAAAAATACAAAGATATTCCTGTATATATTTTTTTCTCGATCATCAGTCATGCGGATTTTGGAGATTATCTCCAATCACACGACTCGATCGGTAAATTAGCACGATTACAATCTGACCGGCAGCTTCCGAGAGAACAGGCTACGAAGTTCCATCTCGTAGACGGATACAGATGGCGTGTCGAACACGGGTCGCAGGAAAAACCTATGGCATGGCCGCTCTCAGGTTTCTCTCCGACGCCACCATGAGAAGGGTTCATAGCTGAAAGTTTGTCTCGGTGCGAAATAGCGCAAACAGTGTCGCGGGAAAATGACTAGACTTCTACCGTGCTGACAGAATTCTAGGAATTCATGAAATTGAAGAAGCGAAAGAATCTGTGCGCGCAGTGCGTGAACATGCCAGCCAAGGTCTCTAAGAAGGTCGTGGGCTTGATCATACGAAGCCGAAAGTCCATTATGAAGGATGGGGTTATCACGGTATCAAAGATTTTCATGAATCTCTCTTTGACACACTTATCTACCTGCGTTATCAGTAAGCCGCTACCTAAGCACACCCTCTTCCCCTGATCACGGTGAATCCATGTTCAAAGCGTGGACAACCGTCGTATCTCGTTGCATTGTCCTCAAGTAGTATCGCATGTGATACCAGCGAGGAGCTCTATATTTATTTATCTACCAAGCTCGTCTTTCTCCTTTGTATGCTGGAGATCGGGAAGTATCTGAACACAGTCAAATCGTATCAAAGATTAACTAATCCTTAATATTATAATTGCGCTCGAACAAGTTACAGAAGTAAAACAAAGGCACCAATGTCCACCGATGCTTAATCTTCGATTTGAAGCTCCCCATTTATATATTTTGTACAAATGATTTGGAAATAAGTGCTCGTGTCCTCGGGACATGATCTCCAATATTTATTGCACTCAAATGTACTTTACATATGTCTTACCTTACGTCATATTTTTTCTGTCTTAAATAGAAAAAAGTGTAGCATATAATTACAAACGAAATGATCGGATAATCATATTTTGTTCGTGCAGTCTGTTACTATGTGGCTGAACAGATCGTAAATATATTCTTTCTTTAGTCCAAAGAAAGATCTGATACATACATATGGGAAGAAGAGGCAGTCTTTGAAAGAACTACGAAGCACTTTGGCCACTAAGCTAATTTCAGTATATAATTCAATATACAAGTTTATGCCTTCGTAATCTTTATTGCCACCATTATTAATATTGCTCCAAAATTGATATCCGTTTCCTTTGTGTTTACTTCCACTTGTGTTTACTGTTCAATAATTGACATGTACGATATATTATAATTTTCTATTTGATATAAGACATTGCTCTCTCATTGTCCATTGCTGGATGCAAAGGATGTAATACGTTTGTCTTTTTCTAATAGCCAACCTGGCTTCGGGATAATACGTGTCAAGTATCCGGCGTACCTGTAGTTGAGGAGGAAAAGGACATATTGTTACGCGGCGCGTTGTTATTTTTCATTATATTATCAACGACATGTATACGCCGAGCGCACGAAGCGACCAAGTGTCGCACGCATCGATCAATTACCGTGTGATTACGCTCTTTAAAGTGATTATGCTGAAATAATCAGCCGATATCGCCGGAAACGATATGATAAAGCTGTGATATGCAGCGAGTCGAAGGATATCACGTCGCAATATCATAGGGAGGATCGCGAAGTCGAATGTATGAACAGTCGCCAGCTGTTCGGTCGGTTGTTAGGTTAGGGCGATTCCGGAGTTAGCTCGAAGTGATTATAGGCTAGATCCGCGAGGGGAGGGGGATCAGTACAGGAGCAGTGGCAATGCGGAGGTTTGATTTCTCGGCTGAATTGTCAAACGATGTGAACGGATCGCGCGAGCTATTGACAGCGTGTCGCGGGGAATCCACGCGAAATATGTGATTGTCGGAGATCTCGCCGAGCAGCCGCTGGCCAAACGGCTGTGACCGTAAGACAGACACGAGAGATACGAGAGAAGGAAGCGAAACTCCGTCCGTGGCACGACGAAGCGGAACGCTTCGGGACGGCCAATAGTCGCTTGGGAGCTTCCGATATGCATAATAATCCCGCGTCGCGAACGAGTCCGCGCGAATAGTGCGAAAATCGCGGACGAGTGTACGAGAAACGCTTAATCAACGCCGACGAAAAATCTCGCGAGTTCGTGGAATTCTGACGTGACGTCACGCCGTCGAGTGTGACCGTCGTGGCGCGACCAAGTCAAGGCCGTGCGGATCCACTTTGTCAATGGATTCGGAAAACGTATAACACGACGGTGGTGTACTGATGGTATATTGATGTTACCGATCTGAACGGTTACCCGGTTTTGTCATGAGAGGCGAGTCTGTCACGGCGAGAAAGGGAAACGTTTCTGCCGACGCGGCACACAATGGGATGCATGCCACTGTCTCGGTTTCCCTGAGTCCGTATTTGTCAGCGATATAGTTACCGTGTGAACCGCTTCCTCCTGCAGATCTCTCACAACTTGCCAAAAATCCAATAACGCGTTGATCTGGCGCCGTACACCGGAACGATAATATTGAGAGCATTACGCACGAAATTAACTATATCATGTGATTGGATGATCACCGAGATGCTTCTGACACATTGTCAAGTGTGTACGTTGAGATCGCTGTTGGATAGATTTTAGAAGGATGCAGCGGAAAGAGACGAGTTAGCTTGAGCTTTGCACTGCCATAATAAAGTTCAAACACTGATAATCGATTGCCAGGAAAATGAAAATCATGCCGTGCTCTCTCGTAATGTAATTTAAAAATAAGGAGGCACATGACAACGTAGTGACTCGCTGTATCTTACGATTAATTCATATTTCTTATTAAAACTCACTTAAGACAGTGTGCGTGTATATAGATCATGTCTGCGGAAATTGTAACGATTATACACGTATATGTGAAGATGTGAAAAAACCAATGAATCCGGTGGAATCGTCGTGAATCATCGATATGAGATCAATGTTTGGACGTTGTCTGGTTTCAGTCTGCATGAGAAACGAACATACAATGTAGAGAGACATGTGGTTTTGTTACAACAGCTTCATTTTGTAACGCAAATCATAGTATCAGCAAGCAAAAATGATAATCACATCAGCGACAGAATGATGAAGAAGTCATTTGTAAAATAATTAAGATAAAATAGCGCAGAGTACACATACATAGTGTATATGCATTTCAATTGCAGTATAGTAGCCGGTATTATTTTGAACATTGAGAGAGCTATGAGAAAACATGTGAACTTGATGGTCAAAACGAGCAAACTGAGAATAACATCGAAGGACAGACGGGAATTTAGTTCAAAACTGTGGAAACGGTGTACTAATATGGCATTAAGAGAAGATCGTCTATTTTTTTATCACACACACGTGAATAGATTAACGACGAGGGTATCAATTAAACTGTGAATATGAAAAGAAGTATACATAGCAACATTTCTTAGGGGTCATGCCCCCTGGGGCAAATGGCGGAACAGAGGGCTTGGGCCCGTCTTGTTCTGAGATACATAACAATCAAGATCACGCTGTAGCTAAACTCACACCTCCTGTTAGATTTGTTCAACAATGCTACAAGCATCTCAAGGTCAGCCGCCAAGATATCGTGAGCCTTTTATGACCTGTACAGAAGACCGTATCCATTTGCACAAATTTATTTTACAAGCTCCCTAGAAAGATAGCGTTTTAGCTTTGCTATTACCGCTTAGTCATACACGTATTCTCTTATGTTTTATATTTATAATAACGTGTGCATTGTGTTTTTATTTTTCAGAGTTCCGGCATCGGCGAGGCGAGTGTGTACCATGCATTGGTTGTAATATTTTTGGAATTTTTTGCGTGGGGACTATTAACCATGCCTATTATTTCGGTGTTGAATGAAACGTTCCCGGATCACACGTTCCTGATGAATGGCTTAATAATGGGAATTAAAGGGATCTTATCTTTTCTTTCCGCGCCACTGATCGGTGCTCTCTCTGATGTGTGGGGTCGAAAATTCTTTCTATTTATCACAGTGGCCTTTACGTGTGCACCGATCCCCCTAATGAGCTTTAACACATGGTGGTTTTTCGCCATGATATCCATCAGTGGTGTATTCGCATGCACGTTCTCAGTGGTGTTTGCGTATGTCGCGGACGTGACGGAGGAACATCAAAGATCGCCGGCGTATGGCTTGGTACGTACGTCATTTGTATAACTACTTAATATTGGAATTTCCTCATCCATATTGCTGAACAGATCTTTGTAACGATTACGGTGGTTACATTTGTGTCGAGATTTCACAATTTTCTCCCCAAAATAGCAATTAAATCTGACTTGGAATAACACGTATTAGTACATGTTCCCTAGTTTCGTAAAATTAATTCTGTTTTGCTTACTTCTCAGGTATCGGCAACCTTTGCTGCAAGCATGGTGATAAGTCCAGCTTTGGGTGCTTATATTATGACGATATACGGACAAAATCTTACCGTAGCATTAGCAACTGCTATTGCAATCCTGGATGTGCTTTTCATACTAGTGGCCGTACCTGAAAGTTTGCCTGAAAAAGCACGCCCGCCAGCACCTATATCGTGGGAGCAAGCTGACCCATTCGCAGCTCTTGGAAAGGTAAAGATTCGACGCGCCTTAATACATATATTGTATTTTATATAATCTACCAGAAACAAAAAAATGTAAATGTTCACTACTTGCTATATATTTTAAGCAATAAGGACGCATAATATACGTATATATATGTAACGCCTATATATACGTCTATTTATATGTAAAGTAAAAGAGATGTATAATTTACTTAACAGGTTGGAAAAGATCATACTATTTTAATGTTATGTGTCACCGTGTTCCTGAGCTACCTTCCTGAAGCGGGACAGTATAGTTGTATATTTGTTTACTTAAAACTGGCTATGGGCTTTTCTGTTATCATGGTGGCTATATTTATTGCTGTGGTGGGCATCCTGAGTGTGGGAGCACAGATTGTATTAGGACCCTTGATGAGAGCACTTGGCGGCAAACACACCATAATGCTTGGTCTGCTGTTCGAGATGCTACAGCTCATGTGGTATGGATTCGGCTCACAAACATGGTAATAACATTTCTTCACTTATATTAACAATAACGTGCCACTGCCAATAATTAAACATAATCTATTAAATAGCTAAAGAGAACTGGCGATGTAATTTTGCCTATTTCATATAACACGCCTACCGATGTATACGATTTGAGTAAATAACATATCATTACGTTCCAAAAATACCGTGCACTTGAATATCTCTAATCTCGAGTCTTCCTTTTATTGAAATAACTTATCTTTTACGAAGCGACAACGGTAACACGTCATTTATTTCTTATCGAATACCGATTATTTCAAGGATGATGTGGGCTGCTGGAGTGCTTGCTTCTGTGTCGAGCATCACGTACCCCGCAATCTCTGCATTTGTATCCATGCATTCTGATGCCGATAAGCAGGGATTAGTACAAGGTATGGTAACGGGGATGCGTGGTCTCTGCAATGGACTTGGCCCTGCCATGTTCGGTGTCATATTCTACCTTTTTCACGTGGATCTTAACGATGACACGCCCAACCTGCCCCTGAAACCATCTTTAGTGGAGGATAACAACAGGACGGGAACTAGTACTCATCTTGATATAATGCCTCAGGTACACATATATTATATAGACTATGTGCAGGTAAGTATAGTTTCTTTTTGTCAGCTTGTTATCAATAACGACGCAAGGGAAAAAAAAGTGCCTTTATGTACACGTGCGCGTAGCGTATGTACTAGTTTATCTGTTGAAGGAAAACGATCTATTTACGTGCGCATAATATAAGTAAAACGCCTGTGGCGTCGAAAATAAAACATGGCGTTTTTTTGTACTTCCAGCTTGTACCGGGGCCGCCATTCGTGTTTGGTGCGTTACTCGTGATCTGTGCTCTATTGGTGGCCGCGTTTATTCCCGAATCAAATACGATGTCAACAGGATCGTTGCATCATCCATCCACTTCCCGGAGGCCCTCCGGTAAATACGCATATCAGAAATGTACGTTACAGGTTGTCAGATATGCTAACAGTCAAATGTGTTTACGGTGATGGGATTCGTCGAGAGATTATCTTATAATACGCAGTGACGGTTGATTCTCGACGTGAAAATAATAGCGCATCGCTTGAAATTACGCTTGAAATATCTTACATATATATCTTACTTATACGCATACATGTATCTCTAAAAGTCGTTCTGCACGAATAGCGTATAAGAATATGAAGTATTCACGGACATTAATTGTATCGTGCGGTGTAAGCCTCAAGGTACTTCTCATTTCAGGTTTATCTTTGGATGTTCAATACGAGGCAGACCGAGTGGGAAGTGGAAGAGGAAAGATCGGTCCGCTATCACCACTAGTCGACAATTGTAATTCTGCCGCGCTATAGTGTCCGTTCGAAAAGTAAGGCATGCCATATAGCACACAATGAGGAACGTTCTAATCGTGAGCGAGAAAGACCTTACTTTCAATCGGAGCTCAGAGGTCGTCGTTATGAAGTGCACCTGACTCGATGGGGACTGTAATAGAGAGTTGTCCATATTGTATTATACTATTTCTTTAAGGCAGTAACTAAGCTTGATTTTAGGACTATCAATGAACTTAATATTTAGGTTGTGACAAATTTCCACAAGCTGAGCTTGTGCGACATATACGTGGGTTGATCTCAAAGTCGAGTTATAATCGCACGATCGATGCATCGCGTAACCGATGTGGTTATGTTAACGAAAACAAAAGATAACAAAAATAAGGCGAAACGTTATTATAAATTTAGCTCTTCCTTTTCAAGATTCTTGCGCCTACTACTAAATCAGACGTAAACGACAGCTTTGCGCGAAGTATCAGTGACTCCTAGTTTTTACGCAACTCGCCAACGGCACAAAACGGCACACTAGCGAAAGTTGCAATCAGTATTTTACTAGATTTATGATTTTTAACGGTTGATCGTTGCTTTGACACTGTATCCTTCCCTTTTATCAACTTACGTTACCACTCTTTGCATCAAATGCAAGTGTAAATTGCAACATATTTTTCGCACCTCCGCATACATTCATATACTAGAAATAGCTTTTACACATTCCTCGTGAGCATAATTTGTGCACACAAAAGAGCATTGTAATGATCGAAAGAGATGAAAATTCTTTGTGAATCGTACTTTTCCTCCTTTCTTTTCTCTTTTTGTATAGATACGATATATTAATTACTTAATATTCTCGTACATCACCCTTTATAATTTAGCGAATATTTATAGATCATGTGAAATGCGCGTCTCTTTTTGCACAAACTATTTATTTTGTTAGATAGAAACTCTATGAAATATAACGAGAAAGGCCTCAACACGCTAGGAGCAGGTTATATGAAGTGATAGTTTGTCGTTCAAAGGCAATGGTAGACGTTGATATCAGTAAAAAAAAGTGTGAGTAACAAAATGTATTATTAATCATTAATTGAAAATCGGTAGTACTTTTACAACGTTAAATTGTGCGTGTTATAATCGGAGTCATTGATGTTAAACAAAAAAAAAAAAGAGTCTATGATAGAGTAGGGCCTGCATGTACATTTTTTGCTTTTGTTTTATACATTAAAATATTTAGGATAAATTTGCTTTGTCGTGGTGGAATTAATTTTAATAATTTCAATTAGGATCTTTCGATCCATTGAATCGTTTATGATTGCGGAATTTACAATATTATTTCAACCAGTAATATAGTTCAGCAACATCAATGTGTTTACATGAGGAAACTGATTTGCATAAAAAATATTTTTTATAAAATAAAACATGATGTAATATCAGTTATTCTGTTGAATTGATTTTGAATGTGCATCAAGCCATTATGATCTTAAAATTAGCCTCCAAGCCAAAGAATGATTAATGACCGAAAAACTAATTGAAAAATAACAATAAATCCAGAGATCCACAGATGCTCGCGTTTATAATGTGCAATACATCTTTATGTACACATTTACCGTGTACGATCGCTGTTTGATAATTTTTATGTTTCATAAATTTTGATATTTGTACACTCTTTCGTGGTTATTTCCCAGAAGAGTCCAAATGATAAAATAGGTTATTTGATGGATATTTAATGGATGAGAGATATTACGCGATCTTTGTGAATAAAAGTAATAAACATGTATTTTATACATGTTTAATCTTAAGCCCTCATTTATATACATCCATTAGAGACAAAAAAAAGAAGTTACTATAATTGAAGGTTTCAGTCGATATTGTAAAGGTACATGGCTTATGACTTTTGTCAAATGTATCAAAATTATGTACGTTTTCTAGATTCTAGCTGTCAGTAAAGTATTACAGGGCGAAGAGTAGAAACTTTGGGCAAGTGTAAAGTGCAACTACAGTTCTCTAGTTTCAGTTCGTATTTCCTTAGGATTACTTACAAACTTGCTCTCGTACCCTGGAGTAAATATACACAAATGTGTTATAAATACAAAGCAAAAGCAGGAAGATTATAGCATTAAGGATGAATAAAGCATAGAAATAAGTCTTGACTCTCACGAGTTAAGTAATTGTATATGTATAATGTACGATGAATGCATTAATAAAAAGTAATTATTTTTAAGATAAATGAGAATATGCCATCTAAAAATTCACACATTTAGAAAACGTAAAATACCTTTGAATTATAAAAAACCTCTTTCTACGTCAAGTTGAGGATGAGAGAGGAAAAAATGTTTGAAATAAGTTGTTATTTGTTTATAAGAGGATTTTATTAATCTAAAGTAAGGCGACTTTCGAGGAATTTAAACGTTACAATACATATATGAGTACTTTTAATATTTGGTTTACTCAACAGAAAGATGAAGGATAGATATTCGTAAAATTAAATATAGCTTAGAAAAATTATAAGCAGTCTTGATGTCGATAATTTCACAATTTAATGTGCATCGATCACAATGCATTTTTGTACGTATTTTTGTACAACACTAACTGTGCTTTGTAAAATAGGTGTCAACTAGTTGACTTGTTCCACTTTGTTGCATTGATTCAATTGCTTTATTGACTATCACTTCTGATGTTTCTTCTGTTATCTAAAAGAAGATTGTAGAACTTGAGGAAATACATGCATATATCATGCTAAATTTCAGTATTGTAATTCAACTGATAGCCTTACATTATTAATGGTATCCAATACATTGTCTATACTTTCACACCTTAGTAATAGTCGCCTTAAAGTGGTTAATATAACCACAGCCACAAAGACTAAAATTCGATATGCACCAACCGTTATTTTATCCCATATCCTATGACAAATACATTTAATGATTCTCTAAATACTGTTGCCAATATCAAAGTTTGGTAAAAATGTTGCGGTACAATTGCAGTCTACACACATACTAATCCAGTACATACATACTTAGCAATAGATCCATCACATATTGTACCAGCAAAACATGAATAGAACCATGTATCATACGGGAGATTATAAAGTGCATCAATTTTAATGAGATGTTTATATAATTCCACATCTTCTCTTTCTAATAACGCGTATGTACACTCCTGTAATTTTCCCACTTCCTTTTGTAATTTTTCAACCTGTACAAACAGTCCACATAGTATCCAATACATATCTACCAATTTTTCCTGTTCAGATTCAACGTCAATCACATGCCACAGCGTCTCAGCCATTTTGCCCATAGCTCTGAAATAAAACTTTATATTTTTGAGATATTTATAATTAAGTAAAATGTTATACAAACCACATTGAAAGAATTCTCAATCAATATAAAACCTTCCAATATAAGACGTTAATTTGAAATTGAAGAAATATATCAATAATAAACCTGTGTAATGGTGATTCCAACTGTGCAGTCATATCAACCTTTGCCCTTCTTGAACGTAATAGCCACATTGCTAAGAATACTAGATGAGGTTTTGTGTAATCGTCTATGATTTTTGCAACTTTCAATGCTTTCTGTAAATCTCGAAATTCTGCCGTACGTTGAGTCATTATAAATTCATGGCTATCTACATAAACCGGTATAACATCGAGTAATACTTTCCATAAAAAATTTCTGTACATAGCAGGTACAGTGAATCTCAAACAAAATTGTTTCAGTTTCGCTTTATCGAAAGGTCGCTCTTTTAATAATATTTCCAGCGATTTTTTTTCCTCGACGCTGCGAAAACCAACCTATTATTTAGAAATAATGTTGAGAAAATTTATAACGGAGAAACCAGAGCACATAGAACAATAGTGTTGCATTAATTTGTAAGTTGGATAAATTCATGCTTGCCTTTTCATAATATGACGAACGAAAATTTCGTTCGTCCGTCATTGTTCGAGCGTAAATCTCGTGAACGGTAAACACAGAAATAAAGACGGAATTATGTTAAAATTAAATAACAATCGGACAGATTACAGATATAACCTATCCACATGATGACAGTTCAATGTCACACTGAATTGGTCGGGTTAGGTTATACAAACCACATTATAAACCTAACCCAACTTTACAATATTATATACATGTGGATGCTTATTGTGTGTGTATCTCCCTGGAACTGCATTACACATAGGGCAGATATATCTGTGTGAGAGATGTTCGTATAACCTATATAATAATTTCCGAAAATAAATCACTGTACATGTGTAAGTTCTAGTACTCTATTTGCGGAATTTTGGGTGACCGTATGTTATTTTAAATAAAAAGAATCGTCATTTTACGCAATACCTACGCATAATTACTCCTACTTTGTCATCGTCATGCCACATGACATTGTATTGTAATCCTGTGTGTGTATCTACAATCCTATAAATATTTTCTCTAACAAGTAGCGAAACGTATCCAACGATTTATTCTTTATTTAACTTATTCTCGTTTATGTACAGTGATCTTTTAAATGATTTAACTGTACACTCTCATGTTTTCACGTTTCACTCATTTGTATCTATGAAGAATTTTTCTTGTACAAATCCTTTTTTCCTTCTGATCAGTTATTGACGTGATATTGATTATGATTATATCTTTTCAGATAACATAATTATGTCTCAGGAAGAGAATGTGGATGTAAATAAAGCTTTTGAGGACTTATTATTCGCGGAAGAAATCGCACAAAAATCAGCCTATGAGGAAGGCTACAAAAGTGGCAAAGAAGAACTGTTAAAAGGATATCATCTTGGGTATCACAGAGCTAGTATAATCGCTGCTCAATTAGGATATTACAGCGGAGTCTTGGAGCAATATCTACAGAATAATGACAATACCTGTGAAAAAACGGTAGCATTAGCTAAAAAACTTTTGGAAGATATACGTAATACTTTTCCTGAGCATCAAGACGATAACTTGGACATTCTGAAAGCTGTAGAAGACATTAAATTCAAATATGCCAAATTCTGTTCATTAGCAAAAATTAATCCACTGTATCCTGAAGCAGATAAACTTGAGTTTTGATACAACAATAATGGCAGAATATAGTAGTCATTTTGAAAAAGTGTTGAATTTTATAAATATTTATCAAGAATTAATAAATTGTCATTTGGTTGACTTCATTACCGACAAATTATGGGATAAATGCATACCAGAGAAACTTAAATCAGAGCTTGAGAGTGTTAATACGATTGATGATATTTGGACAGTAAATAGCATGAGTTCGGAACTGAATAATTTTGTACAGTTAACAAGATCGCTTTCTTTGGAATCGTGTCCAGCAGTTATACATGTAGACGACTTGGCAAAATTGTTGCCGCAATTTCTCAACAAGGAACAGTCCGTTAGAAACAAATTGATTCACTTCAAGTTCGAGCTTATGAATGCTAAAAAATCATACGAGATTGAAGTTCTAGGAAAACTTATTGCTGAAATGGCGCTTTCTACTAACAGTTTAGTAATAGATGCAGGAGCTGGAAAAGCGTACTTGTCGACATATTTGTCAGAACATTTTGATATTCCTGCATTGGCGATCGATTCGTCGCAAGTTTGTCAAAAGGGTGCAGTGAATCGTCAGGAAAAAATTCAAAGGAGGAAACAATCGTTAACCAAGGTTCGTAAGATTGATAAAACTGACTTATAAGATGCATGAAAATATAATTTATTAAAACTAAAAACATTTACATTCATTTCATTATAGGTTCGATACATTGTTCAAGAGTTAAATGATACTACTGATTATAACAGTATAGTCAATAAAAATTATCCTGACTGGTACTTAAACAAAAATCTGATCCTAACGGGATTACATACTTGTGGAATGCTTGTCCATTCAACAATTAGATCTTTCTTACGTTCAAAAGACATCAATATACTATTTATAGTACCATGTTGTTATCATTTGGTAGACGAATCATTGAGTGGCAATTGGAATTTCTCCAAGAACGCTCGAATGTTGGCACAACAATCCATCGAACGGAGCAAACATAATAAACACGTTTCTCCATCGTTATTTTACAGATCTGTATTGCAAGTCGTTTTACATTCCATGGGTTAGTTAATGTAACAACATAGATATGTATAAAATACCAAAGTTATTTTAAAATATAAAATGATAAATATAAAACAATTTTAATACGAAATAACGCCAAAATGCATTCGATAATTTGATAAGTAATCTCTCTTGGTTTCCAACAGGGCGTTATAATGCTAAAGTTGGTCGCGGTGGACCACTAGACAATTTTGCAGATTATGCAAAATGGGCTCTATCCAAAATCGGTATAGATAACAAGCAGGTATATATATGTATAAATATCGCTTGGATTATTATTATTTATTCCAAGTCCTTTGACATGTTCCATGTCCTAACGTACGTATCTTACAAAAAAAATATATATGGTTTCAGATACCATCTGTTGATTTGCTGCAGCAAATATATGAAGACCATAGACATTTTGAGCCAAAGTTGCGTCTTTTTCAAATGTTAAGAATATATATAAGTTCAGTGGTGGAGGCGGCGATTATGTTAGATAGAATAATATTTCTGCAAAACAGTATCCAGTGTTCCAAGGTTATGATAGTGCGCTTATTTGACCCAACACTATCTCCCAGGTGTTATGCGATAATTGCGATTAAATAAATGAAACGTGAGAAATACGAGGATTGTACAGAGAATAATATTCAATAAAAAAGTTAAAATATAAATCCCCTAAATTATTCAGTCTTTGTTCATAGACCGATTTCATATTCAACATCATGCTTTAAGTTTAAGTTTTTAATCTCTTTCCAAGCTCTTTCCAAGCTTTAAAGCTTAGACTATAAGTATTTATTAAAAAAACTATTATTTGATAATAGTTTTTTTAGTAAATACTTATAGTCTACGCGATATTTCTCGTAATATTGTAATTGATATGATTATATATTAAATATATTCCACATTATATAAACTATAAATTATAATAATTTATATTTTATATAATTTATACTACACAATATATAAATTACGATAATAATTACGGTAATAATACATAATATAACGTTACTATATATCCTGTAGCTCCTGTGCTTGCAGATAATCCTTAACAGATGAATATCCTACATTCTGCGCCTGCGGGGCTAAAATTCCTGTAGGAACAAGACCATCCCTGGTTCGACATATACTACAGTTGCATAATCCTCTACAGGGTGGGCAAGCCCAACTCTGAAAAATTGCATCAAGCTATAAGAATTTTGTGAGCTATAATTTATATAATGATAGAAAGAGATCGTGCAATATTAATATAGCAAAAAAAAGTATACAATATATAAGTATGTAATCAATATCTAAAACTATATTTACCGGATCTTTTAATGCTTCTACTGCACTTTCACCATATCTACCTCGTAAGCACGGTCCACAAAACTGTCCCCTGACACCTACGCATTCTCCTGACCGACAAACTGTCTTTGTATCTAGAGTTTTTTGTCTACATTGGTGACAGCTTGTGCCTTTAATTTTACAATATGTCTTTTTGGAAGATTTTTTTGCTACATTTCTCAACATACTTTCCGTAATCTCATCAACAGACGGTATATTATCAGGATCATATTGTTTCTGAGCTCTGTGAATAAATCGTTTTCTCTTTCGTGCATTATCATTGAAATCATCGTCGCTATACTCCTCATCGTCCTTATTCTCCTCGTCTACATCACATACTATTTTCATCAAATCAATGGAGCGTTGAAATGGCTTTGCCCAAGGAAATAAAATCTTCAAACCTCTGGATCGATTATTTTCCAGCAACTCAGTCTCTTCATCCTCATTATCGGAATTGTTAGATCCATCGATATTGGACAGTCTTTTACTACTTCTAGTATTGTACTTCCGACGAAATTGTAAACGTATACCACTGCCGTGAAAATTTTCCGAATCTTCTGAAATTGTCCGGCGTCTTTTTTTGGGTGGTTGATTTTCAGACTCGTCTTTATTCCATTGTTCTTTCCGTATTTTTCTAATTTCGTTTGTTTCTTCTTTTAAGTCTTTCAAGAATTCTGCAAACTACACGAAACATCATCATAAATTGTATAATATTTCTCATAGTGCAAATAACAGAGTTCGATTTGGAAACAATTTAATAATCTCGTTAAAGACAAAAGAATACTTACGAAAGCATTCCTCTCGGATATGTTTTTCTGTCGAAGAACACTGTAATCATCTTCATCCATGGTTTTAATTAATGGAATATCAAAACTATATCATGCAAGAAAAACTTCTCCTACAAATCACACCGGCAACAGGTATTCGTTTGACAGTTGGTTGAAATTCAAATATGCCAGTTCCCATCTGTGATTAAAATGGAGGGGAGAATCTTGCGCACGCGCAGTATGCAAACTGTTGGTTTTCAGGTACGTATATATTCTGCAATATATGTGGTCCGTCCTTTTTAGTTGAACTAGCTTCATTGGTTCAAGAAATTCATATTAAAACGTACATACGAGACTCTCACGCTTAAGTGTATATTCGGTCACAAGACGGTTGCAACAGTTTTTTTCACATATTTTTTATATACTTCAGAATATACAAAAAATACGATGAAGCGAACCTATGACTCACGAATACACGCAATAGATGGTCAAACACCTGTCAAAATTATATATATATATATATATATATATCAAAATTACATGTATATGTGTAATTTTGACACACACATATTTACTGTCTGACTGTCCATTGCGCATATTCGCAAAACGTAAGTTCACTTCATCGTATTTTTTGTGTGTTCCGAAACATGTAAAAAAAACTGTTGTAACCGTCCCGTGACCGAATGTACGTAAATTTCTTAAACTAGTACAGCTAATTCAGCTAAAAAGAACAGACCAGGTGATCGATTCTTGGATCATTCGTAACTATTCATATACGTAACTTGCGAGTAAGATTCAATGAGCATATAGCTATTCCGTAAAAGCAATACGCTCATTGGATATCACTCGCAAATTATAATATATACTCAACGATTACGAAAAGTTATGAATGATATATATGAGAAATTTTTTCCCAGGTAATCTTCTCTAATAACCTGTAAGAACGAATAGATGCGGACACATAACTTACTTTACTGACAAAGAAAATCGTTACTCAACTCTGAAAGAATTGGTGCACTATTTGTACAGTTAATAAAAGCATAAAGATTTACTTTAGCTCCCACACAAGAGCCCTCCGTATTGCATCAAAGCACGAGCCTGTGAGGTAGTCACGTGGGATTGTAAACGTGCACACGTAGGTCCTGCCTACAAGTTTCCCTTCCAGTTTCCCTCCCTTCCACTTCCCATCACCCTTCCCATTATGGAGTTCTTATTACTTTTGGAAACCCGATCACTTTGGAAGCATTGGAAAGAGAAAGATAAAAGAGAAAGAGAAAGTGCAGAAGAGATAACTAATCAATTAACACATTGATTGCTGGTCTAGTACTCGCGCACACGTGCAGTTTTGACACGTAAGCAGGTTTACAATTTCATGTCTTCATTCATATCTGGCTCTGTGTTTACACGGTATCTTAAGGACCGTCTACAATAGCCGTAAAATATATAGTAAGACGTAAGCTAATTGACCAATTGGATTATAGCCCAAAAATAATCAATTGTGGTCGATTAATTAACTTACTGCTTATAGCCCGTATTCCGAACTTTCACCAATAAAAGTGCCTTGAAAAATGGCTTAGTAACCACCTGATTGGCTGAAAAGCTACATTTAAAACAGTTTTATCGATAAAAGAAAGTTCAAAATACAAGTCTATGTCTTATTGCATATTTTATGGCTATTATAGAAGGTCCTTAAGAATCCAATTAATCAATTAGCTTATTGTTTACGTCTTACTGCATATCTTCCAGCTATTGTAGACAATTCTCTAGAACCGGTTTAGAATGGCTCCATTTCGTCTGTTTTTTTTTTTCATACTAAAACCGTCACCATTCAATCACCTTTGTGCGCACAATATTTGAACGAATGACGCTTTGTTAAACAAAAGCAGCTACTATTCGCGATTTACATTTGCATGACGAGCATAAAATCGATTTGATAATTTCCAGTTTTGTATAATTACGGATATTACATATCATGCAAACATATCATATAAACAGTTACATTAAATATTTAATTCAGTTTCCGAATTAGCGTCTTTCATAAATTTGTTTCCGACATTTACAAATTCATGAAGGACGCGACACTAACTCGAAAGCCAAATTAAATATTTCTACATACGATGAAAGTAAAATATAATTGTAAAATAAAAATTATGTATGTTTTAAGCTGTAAGTTGCTGCGTAAATGTAGCAATAATTCAATGCATGTTGTTTAGTCAAGATTCGAACTCGGAAATTCAAATCACGTGCTTGAAATCCGTATTAGGTATTAGATATTAAATTTGCGAAATGATGATTTTTTTCGGAACTTGACTCGAAGCGAGCTAAGATGGAAATTAGTCTGTCCGTGAAATTGTTATTAACAATTCGCAGTTTCCAATATTTAATCTGAAATGGGCTTCACGTATCTTTACACGTAGCCTTTAGATGGCGCCACATCTGGTCCATCAACCATCAGTTGCGTTTTAGCGGGTAATGTGAGTTAATACTCAGTGCATCGGTTTTTTTATTTATATTTTCTCAATTAAAAAAAGGGTGTTTCAGCAAATCATCTATTATGATAAGGTTATCTATTATGATATTTTGTGATATACAAATGTTTAGGTTTAATTTTTCCGAGAAAAATGTCACACGTTTTTAATTGTATATTTAAATTGATCCACAAGGCTTTTTCACACCTCGTAGTTTACTTATTTATTCCGGTTTATCCAAATTTGCATACTTACGTCTCTCTGAGGAAGATCGTTTCCTTTGTGATAATTATGAAACGTATCACCGATTACGCTGAGAATGTATCGCACCGTTATCAGCGAAAATATTCATCAAGGGATGGATATATCAGTGGAAAAATGACAAGATTTGCGTGCCTTGCGTTATAATATTTTACGATGCACTCTGTGCTTGTTAAGACATAACTTAAGTGATCTACGCACGAAGCACACTCGTCCCTGTCAGTGCGATTGAAGCCGCTGTCGCAAGTCCGTCGGTGCTGACGAGTGTGGTAATTGACCGCTGGAAATATACTGTCAATTATTGTCTTTAAGGGTACAGTAAACATTTTTCGCAATGATCTGCCTTCGAATACGCTTCACTGTTAATTTTTTAACCATTTAATGGTTCTAATAATAATCTGAAATCATTAGGGAATAAAAACAATTGTTGTGTAGTTTAACAAAAATTCTTTTTATTATAGTCATGGTAAAATATTCGGTTAAGAGACCACGAAAACGCAGTTTGATTATTCACAGGATGCTTTGCAACTTCAATTTAAATATGTGTAATTAAATGAAGAAGTTCGATTGATAGATATAATAATTATGTAATTTGTATAATATTATTATTGCCTATTTGTATTATATTGTGCATAATTTACAGTTTCAGGCAAAAAATGCTGTTGAATCGATAAAATTTTCAACAATAGTATAATTGGAGTAAATCTTGATTCAAATATCATTAAAATTATTATGTTTTGTTTCAATAATTGAAGTATTAGTTTCAATTATATCGCTGTTGATCGCTTGAATCAAAAAGATTGACTTCAATTACACATACTGTTGGGAATTCTATTGATTTTGCCGCATTTTTTTTCGTATATATGTACTTACATCATTTCTCATACATATTTATCACAGACGGTCAGATTCCAATAACTACGTTCCTACAACTTGAAAAAATACCGTGAATTATCTGGGAAAGACTTTCACTTATGTAAACGTCGTGCGGTCGAATAACAGCTGTCACAGCTGCTTCGCTTAAATTCAATCGACGAATCACTCGGTTTACGGTCGAAGAATTCTAATATCGTGTCTCTCGCTCGTGGTTCTCTAGGTTATTGTCGCGCGCTTTAATTAACAAGGAAGTAACTTAATTCCTTCAATGGAGCCATTAGTAAGAGTAGCGTTACTAAATATCAAAGGACAGGCGAGGCTATTGCGTTCTCAATCTCAGGTAATACAATTTATATTCATTTTATTAGAATCCTTCGATATTTTAATGATGAAATAATCATTTTTGGCATATAACTAAATAAATGTATAAGAACCACGTTTTCTTCTTAAAAAAAAATATTATAAAATACTTCCAAAGATATCTCGAAGACAAAAGAAGTAACTCAAACGTTTCTCCATTTTTTCCAGCGCATTCAGTGCAGCAGAACACTCATGTCTCAACAAGTATTCGATCGTGAATCTAAATACGGTGCACATAATTACCATCCACTTCCGGTGGCTGTATGTAAAGCCCAGGGTGTTTTTATGTGGGATGTCGAGGGTAAGCGGTATTTCGATTTTCTCAGCGCTTATTCGGCAGTTAATCAAGGTCATTGCCATCCGAGAATCTACAAGGCGATGATTGATCAAGCGAAGAATTTGACTCTGACGTCTCGGGCATTTTATTCCGATGTATTAGGCGAATTTGAAGAATACATCACAAAACTTTTCGGGTATGTAGTGTTAATAGCGAACATCAACGTCCACGTTGATAAGATTAGTCGGTGATATGACGAAATTTTGAAGTAGAAGATTATCGATAACAAAAGTGTTTACACTCTGCATCTGTTTTTACTTGCCGTGAATAAGTACATGTGCGTACATAGTGCATTCGATAATATTGCTTCGGAAAAGTACGGACAAATAGATTTAATTATCGAGAAATACGGAACTCGAGGAGCACGATATCGAACGAAATTCAGTTTCAAGACTAAATCGAAGGATCTATCAGCTAAAGCTGATATACCCCCTATTAAATAAAGGCAGCAGAGGTCATAAAACTTAACACTTTGGCGGCCGTACGTTTCTCGTATGTAAAAATCATTTCCCATCGCCGATATCGAGTGCGAGTTCACTTAGGTCGATTACTAGACTGACATCCTTTTTTTTCAGATAAACCTTCTATCATCATACTCTGTAAACTTCTTAGAGTGAAATCTCATTCGAAAAGTAGAGTGACTACCAAGTCATTCAAATTCGAGTGTGACTTTTCATTTATATAAATTTACCACTTTGAGTTATCAAGTAAATATTTTCATTCATAATTGAAGAGTGAATCTGATATATCGGTCACAAAATGGTTGCAACGTTTATCTTAAGTTTCGGAACATATCCCGTCCAATAGGAGAATTTGTTTTTTAGTAATTTTCAAGAAATAAATTTTCTTATTAGATACATAAAGATAAGATAGATCGATAGATAAGATAGATAGATCGATTTTCAAGAAATAAATTTTCTTATTAGATACATAAAGATACATAAGATGCGCTGTGAAACTTATCCAAAAAAGTATTGCAACTTTTTTGTAACTAACCATATATTTCACTGTCACAGGAACATATTCCAATCGATTGAAACATTTGCTCATATGGAGCGTCCACTGTAAACTTGAGTGAAACATTCTTTCTTCCAATTTCGAGCGACAATATTTTCACTTTTTACACTTTCTCACAATTACTATCACTTTGAATGAAAACACTACCACTTTTTACTTGTTTTAAGTGAGATTCAACTCAGAGAAATTTAGGGGTTAGTTTTTATACAATATTATAATGTCACATTTTGTTATTGACGAGTAAAATAACGTACGCCATAACACCAAATCGTTACTGAAAAAAGAAACTTGTAACAATAATAGCGTTACAAGTAATGCATTTACTTGTCAATATTTTAAGATATTTCACGTGTAATGGAATGCTAAAAGACAAATACACAAACGTCGTCGAACTTCCTTAGTTTAAAGTAGATATTTTTCAGACTCGTATCAAACTCGCACACTAAAAATACTTTTATATCTGAGATATGAAGTATACGAGATAATGCGTAAATCTAAATAAGCATAAGATAGCTGCTAAATGATGACATAAAATTTCATCACGCGAATGAAATCATTTATAGGTGACAACTGACCGATAACCGTTGGTACACTGAAATTTTTCTGTAAGATATTAACATTCATGTATTGAAAAAAATGTTTATGTTAGTTTATCCAGCTAGGTCATATTATTTACTCATATTTTATTTACTCATATTTGAAATTTTGGAAAACAATATGGAAAACTGTTCTTGTCCAAAGAGATATCTGAACAAATCACTAATTAATTTCTGTAATATTAAAATTAATGTTGACTTTGGTACGAATATATAGCATAATCACGTGATACAGTATGGTATATTATTATTCAACAAAAAATATTCAATTTTATTATAATATTATTCAACAAAAAATATTCAATTTTATTATAATATTATTCAACAAAAAATATTCAATTTTATTATAATATTATTCAACAAAAATTTTCCTTCGTTGCGAAGTCGTGCATACGCGACAACGGGGACTCATCGAAATATCAATATCATTCTCCCCTCTCTCTCTATAAAATTTTAGAGAGAGAGAGAGAGAGAGAGAGAGAGAGAGAAATTTAATGTTTACAAATATTAAACATAACTTTTAAATCTTTTTCTCTCAGCTACGATAAATGGTTGCCGATGAATACGGGCGTGGAGGGTGGCGAGACGGCGTGCAAGTTGGCGCGCAGATGGGGATACAACATCAAAGGTATACCGCCAAACAAAGCTAAGATAATATTCGCAGAGGGTAACTTTTGGGGGCGGACCATGAGCGCAATCTCCTCCAGCACCGACCCGACCAGCTACCATGGCTTCGGGCCTTATATGCCGGGATTTGAGATCATCCCCTACGATGATCTCATGGCGCTCCAGAAAGTCCTCGCCGATCCGAACGTTTGTGGCTTTATGGTAGAACCTATTCAGGGTGAAGCCGGTGTCGTAGTACCGAAGGTAACGTCGATCGTATCCACGTATTCTCTAAATTTTTTGGGGTGAAATTTCACTCAAAATGTGGAATTTCATTCGAAACAATTTAAAGAATAATATACATACCCGAACATTCGAGTGAAAAAGCAATCATTGAAAATTCGTTCAATTCCGTCAACTTGTCTTTTTGTCTTTCCATACAGGATGGATACTTGAAGGGAATCCGAGAACTCTGCTCCAAGCACAACGTCCTATGGATCGCGGACGAAGTGCAGACCGGCCTGGCGAGGACCGGAAAGCGACTCGCTGTCGATCACGAGGCCGTGAAGCCGGACATCCTGATCCTTGGCAAGGCCTTGTCCGGAGGATTCTATCCGGTTTCCGGCGTGTTGGCCAACGATTCCATTATGCTCACCATCAAGCCCGGCGAGCACGGTTCGACCTACGGTGGCAATCCTCTTGGCTGTAGAATCGCACTCGAGGCACTCCGCGTTCTAGAGGAGGAACGACTGGCCGAGAACGCGGAGAAACTCGGTCACGTGTTCAGAAGCGAGCTCAATAAGCTGCCGAAGGAAGTGGTCACCTTAGTGAGAGGGAAGGGTCTCTTGAACGCGATCGTGATTAACGAGAAAGTCGACGCCATGAACGTTTGCCTGAAAATGAAGGAACACGGCCTCTTGGCGAAACCAACGCACGACCACATCATCCGCTTGGCGCCGCCGTTAGTCATCACGGAGGAACAGATACGCGAATGCGCGGGCATCATCTCCAAGGCTGTACTCGAGTTGTACTCGATGGTCGCGCGTTAATGAAAACTACTCTGTCCAGAACATTAGTCCGGACTTATAATATGTGTAGCAAGCCTTTGACCTTTTGCTCTGAGCAACAAAATATAACGTAATCTCTGACAAAAGACGTTTCCCGCGCCAAAAGTCGTAATAATGCCTAAATCTTAGGAATTGCGCTGGAAATGCTCTTTGCTGGAAATTACGTTATAATTAAATACTACCCCATTGTAGATCCAGCTTTAGGTTGTGAAAAAAGACGCGCGTATACAGTACAAGATTGTGGTAAAGTTTCAATGTTATCGTCGATACCGATTATATTTATATATGCTGTAGTTATTCAATAAAAGTATAATTCTCAACTTCGACATATCGTCGATATGATACGTGTCATACACTTGGATAATTTCACTGTAACAAAGTGCAACGTCCGTCGCGGTCGTTATCTCGATGACGTTCGTCGCGCGAACCTCCGGGTGATGTTAATATGCAGCTCGTGTTGCCTTGAAAAGCACTGCTTTCCAACGACTTACTCGCGGCAGTTATCAAACATTTACCACGAGGATTAAAGCGGAACTAAATCGGGCTGACATACAACTGTTAACAATTAAGGATGTCGCTTATTTATGGAACGACTGAAACGTTTACATACGGACGCGACATGCTTGTTCGGTTATCTTGTCGTTCAAATGATTATTCTCGGTTATGCGGCGAGCATAAATAAAGCATCTTTAAGTGGGATCGTATTATGTTACTTCAATAACTACAAAAATATCAATGTAACCAATGCGAATTATTGCATTTGCATTCCGGGTATCATAGCTTAATACGATAACATTCCAACTCCTCATTTTCCACGCAATTAATGACGCGTTTCTAGTGCGATGACGTGGGCAATGAACACGTGATAAAATGTATCGGAAGACACATACAAATACATACACATATACGTGCGTGAGATTATAATATCGCATATTAAGTAATAATTAAAGTGCGATTATCATGCATCGTGTTTCGAACGATTGATTCTTATGCCACCGACTTGCTATCTTCTCTGCACCAACGGAAGATTTTCATGGAAAATTTAATTGCGATAAGGCAATGTTACTTTATCGTTATATTGTCGCGATGCACAATAGCTCAGATTATATTATTTATTATTGCCCGTTTGACACTCAAGTACACCGGCGTCTTTGCTTTCCGACTTACCGCGCGTTTCTTTTTATCAGAGATATGTTTCTGTTTGCAATGATATTTATTTTAAATCTTCCTATCGCGATGCTCGTGCACAAACATTAAGCCGGTAAATAAGCAATTGTCCGTATCTTCTGGCATATCTTTCGTCATATCTTCTGTTCCTTTGATATAAAAGCAAGATAGGTGGAATTGCTATCAGAAGTCGCCTATTTTCCAACACCTTATAATCTTGCGCCTAAAGTAAGGAATTTTTTGTTATCTTTGCAATTGTTTGTTACACGTATCTCTCCTCGTTCGTCTAAATTCGTTGATAAAATTTCACTCCGAAATGCAGAGTCAATCGGAATAATTACGAACCGTTATGCATTAAATCGATAAAATCGATACGTTCCGTTTTAGTTGATTTTTATGTTGATTGTTAAGTCAATTTTAATCGATTTTAGTCGATTTTAAAATCATTCTTCGATGATTTTACGATTACTTCTTGAAAATGTCGCGGTCTCGCGATTATTCTGATTGACGATTTATTTTGTGTGTGTATACATTTAATGTTCGATATCTATTATTTCTAATATATGTTCCAAGAGTAATGATCTAAAATGTATGAAATATGTCAACACATTCATATTGACTAAGGTGAATAGAGTGAGGGGAGAAACATGGCTATGCAATCAGTAAGACAGAGGTTCCTCGGTGTCGTGAAGAAATCGGGCAAGGGAAGATTCTTAAGCTCCCAACATGTGATTGATCGCGATGATAAGTACGGCGGTATCCACTTTAAACCGCTACCGGTCGTTCTGGCCCGAGGGGAAGGTGTCTACTTGTGGGACATCGATGGAAAGCGCTACCTTGATTTTCTGGCGGGATTCTCGACCGTCAATCAGGGCCACTGTCACCCGCGTTTAGTGAAAGTCATGAGAGACCAAGCCGGTAAGCTGACGCATACGTCGCGAGCTTTTTACTCGGAACCTCACGGCGAATTGGGGGAATACCTGACGAAATTGCTCAAATGGGACCGATTTTTGCCTATGAACACAGGTGTGTAACCAATATCTACTAGCTCTTGCGAATTGTTATATAAGTGTATCTATTTGTAAAATGTCGACTTGGAAAATCGCGGAATGCTTCGTAAAACATCGGTATATTAGGTTTTTTGTATATACGTAATACAATTAATATATAATAGTTAATAATTAATCTTTATGTAATTAAAGATGTAATAAGTTAAGCACGAATTTTGCTATAAGAAACGAGAATTAATAACTTTATGAGAGAAAAGATTTCGATCTAATCGAATGTTTATTATTATAAATACGTTTCAGTCTTTGTTCGGACCTCCTTTTAATAGTAACAAATAGTATAGTATAAACTATGCATAGTTTTGCTGCTAAGCAGACACATCGTTTTTATCAAGAGGAATTATAAATTTCAAGAATTTTTTCTTCGCAACAGGCGTCGAAGGTGGCGATACAGCTATTAAATTGGCCAGACGCTGGGGATATAGAGTGAAGAAAGTGCCAAGTGAAAAAGCTACCATTGTATTCGCGAAAGGAAACTTCTGGGGCCGTTCATTAGCTGCTTTGTCAGCTTCGACGGATCCGAACTGCTACACAGACTTCGGCCCTTACATGCCGCTTTTCGAAAAAGTACCGTACAATGATCCGGTCGAGCTGGAGAAAAAGTTCCAGGAGAACCCGAATATCTGCGCGTTCATGGTCGAACCTATCCAAGGGGAAGCTGGAGTCATCGTGCCTACCGTAAGTCATCGATAACGTACCGGTATAACGTATTGGTTACATTCAATTCTTTGGTCTTCCATTCTCCAGGATGGTTATCTGAAATGCGTGAGGGAGTTGTGCACAAAATACAACGTTTTGTGGATCGCCGACGAAGTACAGACCGGTCTTTGCAGAACCGGCATGCGTCTGGCGATTGATCACGAAGGTTGCAGACCGGATATTCTAATTTTGGGGAAAGCGCTCTCCGGTGGAATGTATCCGGTTTCCGGTGTCCTTGCGGATGATCAGGTACCCGGACATTTCGTCGTAGCTGATAAAATTATTTGAAACGTTTACATACTTTCTACACAGAAAAGAAACAGTCTTAAATCAAGAATAAATATTAAGATTAAATTAGGACTAAAAATCTTCTGGGAAGATTAAAATATTCTTGCTTATATATGAGAATATCTATTCTTGATTTAAGACTTAATTTTACTGTTTATTTAATATGCGCGTACAACTTTAGACAATTATTTTACATATCATACGATTATTTTGAATGTTGTTTCAATAATCGGGATCATTCGCGCGCGGAAATATTTGAAGAATTAAATTGGTGGAATTTTATAGAGATAGAACGTATCGGCTCTATTACGTAGAAATTCTAAAACATTATATCCGATAATAATCGCAGGTTTGTAGCGACAAAGATTTTTAATCATCGTTGATCATTCAGATAATGCTCTGCCTGCAAACGGGCTCGCACGGAAGTACTTTCGGCGGAAGTCCTCTCGGAAACCGGATCGCTCTGGAAGCGGTTAAAATCTTGGAAGAAGAGAACCTGGCCGAGAACGCGAAAAAACTCGGAAAAATTCTGAAGGAAGAATTAAGCAAATTGCCGAAGGATATCGCGACGGAATTTCGAGGACGCGGTCTCTTGGCTGGTCTCGTGATCAATAAAGGTACCGAAATTATCGTCAACTGATCAATCGGTCGATTAACAGCGGTAAATCGTCGACAATTTAACATTATACAACGCGAATGAAGATAAAATATTCCGAATTCAGCGGTGAAGCTAAAATATATATTCCTCGCGATGCTTGTGCGCAGTCTAAATCTTGCAATCTGGCAATTTCGTTTCACATATTTGCCCCCGATAATTGTGCAAATAAGCGTAACGAGACGATGAATAAACCACACGTTGAGTAACATTTCTCTACGTTACGTAACGGGAAATTGAATTTTATTATAAGGTCGCACGCGAGACACACTCAATAATGATACAATTTATTTGCAGAGTTTGCCGAGGGTTGGGATATCTGCCTGAGGCTAAGAGATGCCGGTTTGTTAACAAGACCTGCGCATGGCCAAATCATAAGAATATCGCCCCCATTAACGATCACGGAGGAGCAATTGCGAGAGGGAATAAACATTCTCACGACGGTTCTAAAAAGTTACAAATGAGGAACACGATGTATACTCCACGGCGAGCAAACGCGTCGATCTTGTCCCGACGTTATTTCCTACAGAAAAGCACCTTTAACGTCTCTCTCTCTCTCTCTCTCTCTCTGGAATTCTTAGATTTTTCTGGGAGAGTATAAAAATGAGATTCTAAGAAAATAAAAACGTTTGTATGTGTATACATATGTTACAGTTTATCGGATAAATTACATGTGCGATTCGTTGTGCTTCTTCAGATGCCTCGTCAGACTGAAGGACTGCGAGAACATTTGGTTACACTGATTACATTTATACGTTTTTGTGCCGGCATGCAAATTCAAGTGCCGTTTCAAATGATTGGCCAGCTTGAACCTCTTCCCGCACAAACGACACTGGTGTTGCCTCAAAGTGCCGTGCGAGGCTTCGTGGCTTTTCAAGTGACCCGATTGCGCGAATCTTTTACCGCACAATTTGCACGCGAAGGGCTTCACTTTGGTGTGAATTCGCAAATGTTCGACTAGATTACCCTTCTGCACGAAACGTTTGTCACAATACTCGCACTTGTGCACCTTCGACGTCTTGTGTGTTCGTAAATGCATTTTTAAATTGTAATTGTGGCTGAACTGTTTATCACAAAATTCGCATTGCACCAAACCTTTCCCCGTGTGAAGTCTCTCGTGCGCCTTCAAATTCTTTAAGAGACAGAAACGTTTGTTGCAAGTGCTACATTCGAAGTCTTTACTCTGCGGAGTATTGTCACTTTTATTGTGAACCTTTATATGCTCCTCCAAGTACGACGGATACGAAAATATCTTGTCACACACCTTACACTGATGGACGTTGGTTTTAGTGTGCAATCTCATGTGCGCGTTAAGTTTGCTCTTTGACGCGTAAGCCTTGCCGCAGCTGAGGCACTTAAACGGTTGTTGGCCAGAGTGAGACAACTGATGAGCGAATAATTTCGATTTCTGCGAGAACTGTCTCGAACATACCTCACACCGATGCTTCTTCGTGTGAATATCTTCCGCGCTTTTCGCTTCAAGGGGTTCTTTATAATTGTCGTCGCTCGGGCATCCGTGATATCCGATCATGTGTTGCCGGTCTTTCTCGGACGCCTTTATAAATCTCAGGTTTTCCGCGATCGACACGTTATTCTCGGAATGCATCGTTACATTTTGCAAACGTTCCGAACTACTCTCTTGAACGCCATCCAGGTCGATATTCTCAGGAAAATTTAAGTTCTGCATTTCGTCGTTGTCATCCACGGTGGATCTTTGATAAGACAGATTCTGAATGGGATTATCCACGGAATGAATGGACCTCTCGTAACTGAGATTTTGCGGAATGTGATTCGAATTTTCGCAGATCTCGATGTTCTCGTTATCGCACGAAATATCAACATTATCCGTACCGTGCGTTATATTGTGACTGATCAATTGTCTCCTATTGGTAAAGGTGTGATTGCACAAGGAACAATGTAAGGCACAGGCAGCTCGACTGGAGCTCTCTTCGTTCAGTGGCATACTATGCGTCACATTTGACCTAACTAACGGAGATAATTGCGTGTTTGGAATACTGTCGTTGGCAAAATTCGAGCCAACATGACCAAAATTGAGATAGGGATTTTGCGACTCTACTATATGCATGTGCTGCATAGGTATGTTATCCTGAATAAAGGACAAGTGTAGTCGGCTGTGAGCACAGAGTTCTTGATAATTCATGAATACAGCGCCACACTCTATGCACTTCAACGTCTTGTGAGAATTCTGTACTGGGACAAATCCTTGATTCTGCTGATTCTGGTAAAGTTTGCAGCCAGAGACAGTAGTGTATGACGTTAGTCCAGATACCTGTTTGAATAGTATATTTGTTTATAATAGGATTTATGATTCCACCTACAAGATGTCTAAAACTTTTCTGTTCAGTTCTGTCCGCTCTACTTATACATCACTGATATCAAGAAAGGTTTCAGACATCTTGTATATATTGTTTATATACATATTATCGCAATAAATTTACATCGGTACCTTTAATGCTGCTTGTCTCAAAGCCCTATCCGCTGCACGACATTGTTCTCTGTATAAGAGAGCCGACTCTGCTCTGGTGACACAACGATCACACATTTTTTCAGGCAAGCCATCTCCTTGCCAGACCTTCGAGCATTGAAACATCCACAAATTCAGTATTTCATCTCGAAAGTTTAAATCTACATATCGTATCACAAGTAAAAGGTGTATCATTTACCTCCAAGCACGAGAGGGATCGTAATTTGGCGGCGAGAGATGAACCGGCGGGTCCCATGAACAAACATACCATCTTGTCGCCGTCTTCTCTCAAGCACGTGCGACACAATTTACTGATATTCTCGCTATCGATTTCCTTTGTAACTATAAACATTCTTCCGCTGTTCTCTAAATTCTCGTTATAACGGAAAATATCGTGCGACTCGCGTATGACAGTGAGCTTCGGTATTGCACCGGTGGATCATGTTCTTATTTTGACGTTTCCAGAACGCTACGCGGCTCGTCATATTTCTTTCGTTCCACATGGTTCTGCACGGTCGGCGTGAGATGTCGCCACCATGTCGATGGAAAAGAGCGCAGAGCAAAGTAGGAAACGGCGCCATTTCGTGCGTTAGTTTCGGTTGGTGCGTGTTTGAACGTGTAACGGGCCGCCGGTGGTCTCGTTGAATCGGTGAAATGAGCGGGAAGCTTATCGGATTAACGCTCGCATTGATACACTCGCCTGCGTTTTATCGCGACCGCGACTTGAAACAACGCGTACGCGCGTTACGGGCGCATTAATTCGCAAATATTCGCCGGTGTCGACGCGCCTGGGATATCGACTCGCTCGCAGGGGCTTTCACCGGCTTTCATTACCAAGGTAAATTGTTTTCTTTTAATCTCGTATTGATAATTTGATGTTTGGCGAACGCGCCGGAACGTCCCGGCGCAGCACACAGCGCGCGATCGAACATAATCTGTATTCCTCACTTTACTCGCACTCCGCACGCCACTACAAACTAAATCCAAACTAATTATCTCCGTTCTAAAATAGAAAATTCCCAAGGGACTTCATCCTACAAGACGCCTACATCCTCTCGGACAATACGCATTTGTACAGAGATGGAATTCGAGATCGAGATATTACTTTGGCTGAAGTATTATTATTTGAGTGAGTCGGAAAATATATCATGTTTAAAGTAATATTTTATCTCGAGCGAACTCGTATATTATTTTCTTCGTTAATAACCGAGGCAGAATATAATATCAAGAAACGACGTTGTCGACGCTTGCCGAATAAAATGGCGCGCGGAAAAAGTAATATTTGCGCTCGAATGTGCCATTTATAGATAGACATTTCATTTCATCCGACATGATTTACTGTGGTTTAAGCATGGCTTGATAACTGCTGACTACATTGAGCCCGTTAATGAAATCAGCTGATAATATTGACAGAATACTAATTGGATAAATAACGTTATCACCGAAATACACGTACTTGACTAGGTTATGTAGCGGCGTTGAAAAACGCGTCGTTGAAATTTATTCCAAACAACGATCACACAGTCCTGTCGCATGCTTCGTAATTATGACTCGTCGTTTCTTATTTAATTTTAACGTTACTAGTCACAGGAAGCGCGCTACTGCGTCAAAATTCGTGTAATCTCATGCTGTCATCCTTTCTACGGGTACTCGAGTACTTTTCGCAATGATTTGAAAACCACTTACCAATTATTAATTACCAAATGCACCACTGTAAATCTTTGCAAATACTACTACTAATCAAGACGACCTAACATGGAAAAAAAATCTGGTTACATTAATCAGAAAGGGAACAATCAAATGCGTTCTGGTTGAAGAGAACAAAATTTCTGGTTTTTCTGGCCGAAATATGATTCTTATAACCAGAAATTCTATTTTCTTCAATCAAAATGCATCTGGTTATTCCCTTTCTAGTCAATACAATCAAACATTTTTTCCGTGTAAATGATGATTACATCTGCTAAATAATATATGTACGAATTTTTAATTCCTTAATAATTATATAATATAAATATAGAAAAAGAATATATATATATATATTGAGAAATATTTCAAAAAGAAAAATCTATTAAAAAATTTCAAATAGTAGGGGCTTTTATATATATATATATATATATAATCAAATACTTTTTGGGTGTCCCACTTTTAGGTTCTAATAGGGAAGATACAAGAAATTAGAACGACGAAACTATAATCGGCACATCGTGTTTGTTTACCGGGAAACAAATTCGTTGTTAATAACTCGAGCAAGTACAAGCCTAGCGAAATGGCGCTTTAATAATGCGCGCATCAATTTTTGGTAAAAGCGCTCGTGAATAATAGATTCGACAACTTCGCATCAATGATCCGAAAGTCTCGTGGTAAATATTTGCATTCAGCCGATGTAACGCGCACGCTGTAAATGTATTTACCGAATTTTCCGCTAAATTAATTTATCCTCGCTAATACGAATTTTCTGTTCTAATTCGCAAAACAGAATTCGTATGTATGTAAATGCGTAACGCAAGATGATTACAAATATACATAAGCGCGTTCTTAAAAAAATATGCTAATAAAAAAAATACAAATAAAATATGATGAGTCGCAAAATCGAAAATCCATATAAAAAATCCATATTAAATTTGTTATGAGGAAAACCGGTGAGTTATATAAGAATTAGTATTGTAAAACTTTAGCATGCGGATTTTTTATCAAAAAATTCGCGAAAAATGAAAAATACATACACTGCGACGCGAATTTCTGGCATAAAATATATGGGAAAATTATACTATTGCAAATTGGAAAAAACATCAGTTTAACATATTGAAGAGTTGCAACGAAAGAATGAAATTTATCTGTTTGATTTTGATCGACGCGTAAAACTAAAAATATATTATTTATAATTTAATCGTTTCTCCCATTTAAACTGCCAATACGAATATGACGAGTTTTTCTATCTGCAGAACACTTCGATCTTAGTTCGAACGTGGCATCTCTAAGCAAATTTCGAAGACGTGATAAAATTCCGATAACTTTCGGATTGATTTATTACACAGGTGCATCAGGGTGTACCGCAAAAGAGAGCATATCGTAAAAATCTTACTGATATATACAGTATGTACAAAAAGAAACAAAAATAACAAGAAATGAATAGATGTGCAGTTTTCTTGATAAAAGCAAATGAAAATTTTCCGAATAACAACTATGAAAAATGCCGTCTCCGAGACAGTACGCAAACAATCGTTGAAAGCACTGCACTCCTAGGTTTAATTAACGAAAAGTATTTTCTTCGCATTGCCGTTCTGTTGAAATCTAACAGATTGCACGCTTAACCCACCTTGAACGGAGTTCACCGTGAAAATACGGAAATACATCGGAGATACTCTCAAACGGGGATACCGTTGATGACGATTCGAGGGAAAAAAATTCCTCGAGAGTTCTTTATTCCTGTCGTGATGATAGAGATTGAATTCCCTCGCTTCTCGAGGCGGCTCTCCGCGGATCCATACGTCTTCCGCGAAAGATTCGATCTCTCGGGCGTGCGTACCTATATGCGTGAGTGCGTGCGTGTGCATACTGCTGTATAGCCGAGCCGTGATTTAGACGGACGGATAAGAGAACGAGGGAAATTTCCTGTACGAGCATTCTCGAACGAGTTTTCCGACAAACTCGATCGCTCTGAAGGACAGGAAAACTTGCGCGTGTTTGTGCCATTATCCGCGAACGCGGATTATTGCGGACACGTTCGAGCGCGTGACGTGACGAACGCGCGTCGCGTTCCCTCCTCTCCAACCTCTCTACCTTTTAATAACAGTTTTTCGATAGAGATATTCTTCTTTCTCTGGCAAAGATATGAGATAGATATTTTCCTACGGATCCGATAGCTCATATACGAAGTAATAGCATTATTAAATTATCTGGAAGTGGCGATGTATAGACGAGTAGTTACGAAGTAGTTAAGGCGCGGATAATAAGGGTAATGCCAATTGTCGAGGAATTACCACAGCTATCAGTTGCAACGCCTTGTTATACTATTTGTCTATTACCGTAACTTCTCTCAAAACGAAATCCAACAGCTCGGTCATTATTCGACTGTTTTGAAGTCACTTCGGGTAACTCGATATCTATTTTTGGAGTATGTGGGCGATCTGTTTCTCGTGTCGACAAACGCGCTTTTTTTTGCGGCGCTATTCAGTTTCGTACCGAATTATTATAGAGGGTTCTCAACGTGAGAGGAGAGTCGGAATTATTTTTGCAAAATAATATTTTTCACCCAATTCATTATTAATCAACGATCTTTGTTAAATTTATCATATTACTTTCGTTCATCGGTAATAAACGCGTGTTTATAGAGTTAAATTCGCGAAATAAATGATATCGTAATATTTACGTTTACTCCGACCGCACGACGTTGAAGAACTAATTTCTAGGTTTTGTTTTATTTTTGTCAGTTAATAGTGAGTTAATGTGTTAGTTTGCAACTTTCCGGCAAACAACCGGTTAACAAAATTTCCGACTAATTGAAACTTTCAGTTCCACCTGCCCTTTCAAAAGTTTGTCACGGTGTGAATGAAGTGGACGAGGAGAAGGACGGCACGGAACGAGGACGCAGCCCTACGTGGCTCTGTCGAACATCGCTAGCGTATAATTTTAATGGATCGTATAATGTTGCCGGTTCTCTAGAGACATTCGTGGTAATGCGTCCTATATTTTGGCATTCCCCTCGATAGACTTCCGTGTGACAACTTTTGAATTGTTCTTTCACTGTATACGTATGTAAGCGTGCGTATACAGCTACACACACACACACACACATATGTAAACACACCATCTACTTGTTACTCAAATACGTACTCCACGAAATTGTTTCCTTCGTGGCCTTAAGCGCCACGTTATAATGTGTCTTATATGTCGGTCACAATGCCATTTTATCGCCCTAAAGCCCTTGGAATTAATTTACTAATGTAGGATGATATAATCCCGTGATCTTTATAGCATGCTTTATATGACTTACGATCGAAAGCTCTGTTTAAAATGTAGGATAGAAGCATAAAAGAATAAGGTTAAAGGTCCCGAGAATAAATTTATTATTTATATCGTCGATAATATCCTACTTGGAGATTAATAATTCAAGGCAAGTAGAAGACAATTATTATAGCTATATCGTGCAAACGTTTATTGAGAAATAAATTAATAATGAAAAAATTCAAAATTACAGTATAATCTTTGATTTTAATTTATAAATTTTTCTTTAAATTATTTTTCTCTTTATATTCACATTGCCGTATAAATCGTGTTTATTTCATTTTCTGAATAAAAATATTTTTCTATATTAACTCTGTAAATTCTATCAAATATGAAAGAACAATAGAAATTCTCGAAATATAACGTTGTATTATTTGTTAACGTTGTACATACTATATAGATTATTAAAGAATATTATTGAAAGCATACGTAATTGGACTTGCAAAATTTAAAATAAA